AATACAAAAGGCTCAAATACTCTATGTTATGAAGGTTAATAAAAGTTAAAAAGTTTTGAAAAAATAGTTTCATTAAGTTTTTTTAAAATTTACTTTAGTATAATCTGAAAATCCTTTTTTTATTATAATTGATCGATAAATCACCTGATCACACCATTTTGAAAATGGCGATAAATAAATGCAATATTACTATACCTTCACTTGTGTCATCCTTAATATTAAATATATCTTTTGTGATGAATCAGTCACTCATCAAATGTTTCAAATGTTTCGAAAGGTTTATAAAGCTATTATTTGTTGTGAAAAATCGTAAGTCTATTGGTTGTTTTCAGTTCTTTCATTTATGTATTTATAAACAATTTTAAAAAAATATATATATTCAAAATATTTCATTGATGATGTTTGTGGAATTTGGAACGGAAAAGAAAAGAACTGAACTATACTTTCTGGAAATTTTTTTTTGTAAAATCCGAATTTTGAAGTCACTTTATAATGTGTAAGTTCCTTTAGGTAATTTTACATGTATAAATTATGAAGTAATTAATTAATTTAACATTTCAATTAATAAGGGAAAGTTTCAGTGGGGTATATATTGTTAAAATTTTATTTCATTTTTGGTTAATTCTGCTATTCGATTCTCTAAACTATAGCCGGGGTATTTCGTCCACCGACCTTGATCATACTCCGCTGAAATGCGCAAATTTAAATTCAATCTTTTATTATATTTTTAATTATATTTGATAAAAGAGATTAATAAATAAAGTTTAATATGCAAATTATGCAAATTATACATTTTTGTTTTTATTTATTATTACGTATTAGAAACATTTGTTAGTTATGTAAAAAAGAGCTACTGCGGATACTAACTTACCCCACGCTACGTGGATCGACATTTCTATTTCCAACTCCGTTTAATATAAATATGTAAAATATTTATACTGTTTGTGATGTTGAGATCTTTTCGGAACTGCTATACATGATTCTTTCCCTAATTAATAAAATTTCAGACTTTCTAATAATTGCGATTTTACGAATAATGAGTTCATCAAGTTCAATATTTATTTTATTTATTTGTAGATACATTAACCGAAATATTAGCATTAACGGGTGGAATTGTAATATTTTTCAATGTGTGTATAAAACATTTCATTAAATTATTTTAAATAATAACAAATTTAAAATTCTTTTTAATTAGTGAAGAAATATGACGACGTATATAAATTACTAGATTTTGTTTCGGACGTGGCATTTTTAATAATACTGTAAATTTTTCCAATGTTATTTTTAATAATTTTCATCTTAAATATTTTCAATATTTAAAGCAAATTTCAAAGATTCAAAATGCCTTCTTTTCATTTATTTTAGCTTCATGACGTTAACAGTACCAGCAGTGCTTAATCTTTTGTTTGTAGTTGGAGTTATGATGCGACAAACTCAACAAACTAATAAAAGGGACTTTATGGATTGGTTAAAGAAAAAATCATTATGAAACAATGATCACAATATTATCGATGGTAGATATAATGATTATGAAATTACTCGTAGATATTACTTTATTTAATCCTGAAGTGAGAAAATGGATACTCGGAGCCGGAATATTCAATAGTATTAAAAAAATGTCACAACTTGTTATTCTTGTAAGTATATATCGTAATATGGGAAATTGTAGGAAATTTAAAATAGATTAATTGATTTTCCCTCTAATTTTTGTCTTGGAATTAGATACTATATATCAAGGACGTAGGATTAGATACGTTATTAATATCGACACTAATTACAAGCATTGCAAGTTTATTATTCAGTATTATCTATGAAATATACGAACATATATCATCTGATTCAGAAGTATCC